TGGCGTGGACTGCTCTGCCAATGAAGAGGCTGTGTAGACCTAGAAGCGCTCACAACGAGCCTTACCAAAAAACCCGTCGAAAATCCCGGAAGTCAGGCAACATCACTGTCACAGCTGCTCACTACTATCATCTGAATCTGACATGATCACACGCTACGCAGACACTTACAGCTCTGACTGCACAAGACATGCTTTTGAGGAACACTCGTCGTGTCTGCTTGCGCTAGGCCACTAAGCGGTGCTTGCGCGCTGACAAGCCTGAGGCCTAGAAGCCCTGAGACCTACTTGGCCTGAGCAGCTGTCGTTTTGATGGACTCAAGCTCTTGGGCCATCGTCAATGCGACATGAGAAAGATGAAAACCACGATACTTTTAATTCATGTCAAGTCTTAACTAGAAACTGTTTCGCCACTCAGTCCCAACACGCCCCTAATCTTGCGTGCTTAGGGGGGAAGGGGAAGAGGGGTGGTCGAAAATGTGAAGCGAACCTTAGCTGGCAACATCACGCACCACGTATCCAGTGGCTGGAATATTGAATCGACATGGGTTGTCGATTGTCTGGGTAAGATTGCTGATTGCCCGTCTGCTGCAAGTTACGTCAAAACCCGCCGGGCCACCAGCAGCTGCGTGGCAGACCCGCGCGGTGTCTCGGTCGGGATGTCTGCCACGTCCACACCCACAGGAAGCAGCTGCGGCACCTTGATGGTGACTTCAGAATGGATGCGCATCGGATTTCCGGAGTTACATTGGTGGTGTGCTTAAACGCAGCATGGAACGTTGGAGCTTTGTTGGAAACGGCCTTGACTCAGTGGGGCTGAAGATTGACTTCCACCTCCTATACAGACCCAAAGACCCACGCCCACCCGCACAACCACGCAGCGGCACGGTGCCACGGAATGCCACACAGTGCCATACACCCACATGCCGCGGGTGCGGTCACACGCTCATTCACACACACTTGCAGACCAGTCATCCTTGCTTAGATGGATGTAGTTTGTGCTAGATTGTTACTCTGCAGCTTTTCTTTAGCAGGTACACAGCTGGGCAGCTTCATTGGATGGGATTCCCAAATGTGTGTCCCATCTCCCTGCCCTGGAGTAACGACGATCCAGTGCAAATCACGCAACTCACCTGCAGAACACGAAGCATTTTTACCTACATCCTTTGGGACAGGAGGTTCACGCACTCCCACTCACGCACGCACGCACGCACACGCAAACGCGCACACGCGAATGTACACACACAACAGCATCTTATTACCCTGTATAGTCGTTGTATCAAGCAAAGTAAAACGCAATGCCGCTAGAGCCTCTGCTGGCTTCGGTGCATATCCTAAGCGCACACACGGCAAGTCCCTCGAAGACCACATCGGCCAGCCCTGGCAGCTGAACCGCAACAGCCTGAACGCCGAGCCCGACTGCGGACAAGTTGCGAGCTCGCGGTCCAAGCCCTCAGGGCTTGAGGCAAGATAGAGGAAGTACTGCTGCCTGAGATGCAGGGCTTCAAGAGTTTCGTGCGGAAGCCGTTGAGGGATCCACGGTCAGGCA